CCACCATCACGAAGGACTCTGTGACCGAGTGCGGTGCAGCGCTCGTGATCCGAAAACAACTCCCCGTGTTGGAAGACCTGTAAACAACTGCCGTGACGAGAAATAATGCGACAGGGGTTCGACGTGCAAATTTTAGACACCATTGCATACCAAACTTTCACCCAGGTAAATCTGCAGGACCAAAGCAATTGACACTCCAATGGCAAAGATGGTAGACAGAGCGTAGACAGTTATTGGTGTGCCTCTGCTGGAGCAGTCCTCATCAGCCTCCTGATTGGATGGACTTTGGTGAAACAAATTTGTGCCATTAGGTGCCAGCTGTTTCAAATGGAAAGGATCTGTGGCAGCAGCAAGTGAGGAAAAAGCAACTTTAAACTGAATTGAAATTTGTTGGGTTTTCAAGGCAAATTTAAACAAACTAAATAAGACGCCTTATTTACTAGTACTATATCTTTGTGTTTGAACTCTACCTCCCAATTCCTCACCATGTTTTTTAGTCAAGTCACAAGTTAAGTCACTGGGTGATGAGCCATCAGCCAGCTGATTTGAACTACCAAAACTCTTGTAACCAAGTGTTGACTGCTTGTTAAGTTTAGTTTCAGGAGACGCCTCCATCCTTGCCATATCACCACAAGATCTGAACTTCACGGTAAACCTCCAGATTACACCAGTTCCCCACCGAGCGCGCTCCTCCTGCAGCAGGAGCAGAACACAGCATGTGCAATTTCCTCCAAACTAATGAGATCAACTGTTTGCATCTGTGAGAGAGTGAGCAGTTCACTGTCTGTGGGACATCGCAATTTCACTATAAACAAAAGAAACAAACAAGCTGCAAAATCATACTTTTATTAATGTATCAAAAAAAGGTTCTGAACCAACAACATACAGGGAAGTGCATGGTGTCAAACATAGCATAGCACTTGGTCCAACACTGTATAAATTTACCTGTGCACATACACAAAAAAAGAAACCTAGCGTATGTCATTTTATGAGGTGAATTCTTTATTTCAAATTCAGATACAGTACAAGTTCAAATGCTAATGTAGCTGCCTGGTAACAGTTAACTAGTGTTGGCACATAAAGATTAAATGTTTAGCTTAATTTGCAGAAACGTGGAAAAGACTACAAGTGTTTTTGTTTTGTTTTTATTTTTTGTCTGTCTTCAGTTGCTTTAGGTTTTTGTGTGAGTGAGGCAATCTGTAGTGAAGAGATTCAGTGGCTGAGGCTGCGACAGCCTGGCTGTTGGAGGTGGTAGGAGTGGTGTTGGACTCCTTGGCGAACACGGTTCTGGCGTTGAATAGCGTTGCGGGACACATGGTGCCGCTCTGCCAAAACCTTAGCCTGTGTCATCTTGGCTATAGCTTTGGGCTTGGACAAAGAGCTGAACACGGACTGAGCGCTGGTCCCGGTACTCCCGCTTTGTGCTGTGGGCTCTGCATCTGCAA